AAAGCCTTTCTTCTCATTTTTCTCACGACCAATATTGGGGGCATAAACATTGACGTAAATTACTGTCCAGCAATTTTGACTAACAGCTAGCTCACCACAGAATTACTATGATTGCTCAGCAATATGAAAACGTGAGATGTTTGTTGTATGCTTATGCTAATAACTTTATCAATTATATATTTTTTACGATGAATCTAATCATATGAATTACTCATTTTCAACGGAATACGTTTAAGAAGTTGGAACTACACAGAATATTTATGGTGAAGTTGTAATTTTGTTGCTTGTCTTACACTTATAGGTTATCTGTCAGACACTGATTGTTTAAGTTGATATATGAATAACAATATGTAGGAATTGCCCGCCAAATGAACTAGTTATCTAAACAGTTCACAGGTGCTATCACTCCACAGAACATATTACACAACTTTTTTGAAAATGAATTACAATCAAACATTGAACAGGAGCACTTTAAAAAAAAACAACCGCATGATGTCACTCAGTGTGGAATCTCTCTCCACAAATGTCGCGATTATGGAGATGATTTGTTTCTTATGTAAGTACTTGGAAGATAACGACTTGAATGTCGGAATACGCACAACGAAGTTAAAACAACTTCTACTTAAATGCAACTTAAACGTCCAATTCACATTCAACGGTACTATTTGTAGACACCAATATGGTGTGGAGATGGTTCACCTTTAGTCCCATTACTTGCCGATGTTTTCATGGCAAGTTTGGAAAATGGTCCGTTGAAACCGACAGTCGACACACTCTCTGTACAAAAGGTACTTTGATGAGAATTTCATCATCTGTGATGACAAATGTAACCTAAATTATGTTCTTCGGGTCTTTAGTAGCTGCCACCCAGCCATCAAATTCACAAGTGAAGCAGAGACTGGAGAGACAATATCATTTCTGGACGTCCGACTAAGAGAGAAGACTAATCGGACTCTGAAGTGATCAATATATCGAAAGCTTACGTGGAACAGCCAGCTGACAAACGTCTACAGTTTGTTAGCCATCAATCTCAAGCGGAACCTGATAATATCCCTTGAGATTAGAGTCCGTAGAAACTGCAGTCCGGAATCAGTAGAAGAAGAGTTCACGCTTTTGAGGAAGAAACTTCTTGAGAATTTCTACCCACCAGGATTTATAGACAAACACATAGAGGCGAAAATCAACGAGAAACAACCCATCTTTATGCCGAAGATGCGATACATTAATGTGGCGCCCGAAGGCGACCTACTGGACGACATCCTAAAGAGAAGAATATTTAACGTCCTCTGCTGCTACATCATGATTGATATTCTCAGACCGCTCATTGTTCTTCAACAACTCCAAAGATAAATTATCGCATTTTACCACTTCTATGTGTATCTACTGATTTACTTGCTCATATGGAGCAAGATATATAGGTTGTTTAATGCGTGTTTTATCTAAAAGAGTCAAGGAACATTACCCAGCTGGCTACGAAAAGGTAGCAGTGGATCAATAAGAAGTGTTATAGATGGACATATATTCAACACTGGTCGCTCAATAAGTAAGGAGAATTCATTCAAATTCATCTACAAAATCAAAAGAGGCCTCTCGAAACGATAAGCTTCCGTATACTTTGCATTTCCGAGGCCTTAGTAATCCGGATAGAAAACTCTGATTTATGTATACAGAAGAAACTTCCTCACCCCCTCCTTCTGCCTTGGGTATAATTCCAAGTTCTACTACTTTGTGAATAAGGCTTTTTGAATTTTGTGTGACTGTTTAGTAATATCTTTTTATCGACCAACCCTTTGTCTGCTCTTTCTGCCTATTAGATAATTCATTTTGAACACCTGTTTCCATGCTCTTCCATTAACATCCATTTTCCTGGGTGTCTTCTATATTGCGTAATCCTTGTCAATACTTATCAGTCTTTACCCTCGTAGTTACAGTTTGATTATTCATCATAATTTTGAAACACTGATAAAGTCAACATTAACCCTAACTAATATTTATTTTTTGTTTGACAATCCTAATGTAAAAAATAATTATAAATAAATGCGATTCAACCACTAAGTGAATGAACCCGCCGTAAAAAGACTCTTCGCTGAGATTTTCGTTCTTCAAATAAAACCTCTTATTTCGTTACAGGAATGACAACATGCCGTTTACAGGCAACGTATCTTATTTTGTTCATGCGATAACCTGATAATGTAATTACTTGAGATGAAAACGTTTCTACCAGTCAACTTCTTAGGAGATTCAAGCGAATTGAAAATTTAAGCAAAACGCGAATGACCTCAAAATTACCCATAGTATGAAAAATTCGATTTTCATGTATGAGATACATATATATTTACAAAAATAATGAATAGAAAGTCATGAAACTTTCACATAGGACTCCTTTGTTTCGCGTGTGACAAAAATAACTGCTAGTTTTGCATCTAGGTCTCCTAATCGTAAACCTGATCTTCCCTTAATACAACCCTTACGCAAAACTATCCGTAATCGAACTCAAAGTAACCATACTATCTCCCTAGCCTAACCACAGACTGAGCCTTAACTTAATATTATCTAGCCCTATACAAAATAGGATAGTTGCGTATAGGGCTAAGGACCAATTAGTAAACTGACTGAATTTGAAAAACGAAAATCCATAGGACGGGAGCTTTTGGATCTTCGTTTGACTGGGTGACTGTTCCACCAACTCAAATATACTTCAGTAAGTAAAGTTCATAACAAGAGAAGATAAGGGCCAGGCAACAGATCGTTTATTTACGAAATCAACACATATTTTTAGGTTTTCATGTACATTATTATAGATTATTGTTAGCAGAAAAACACAGTCTTTTGATTGATAGTTTCTCACTGAAAGCTAATCTTTTACCTTGCTGTGGCTGTTTCTTGAATGTCAAATTATCTGTATGCTAACTGTATCCGCCTACACAAAGTCTGCTATGGTTGGTTATTGAATCAGGATTTGTTCATATTTTCTCACGACCAATATTGGAGACGTAAAATTTGGCGTAAATTACTGTCTACCAATTAGGCTAGCAGCCAGCTCTCACCACAAGCTTAGACACCTCACTAAAAGGTGGACGTCGTTTAAAAGAACCATTCTGCATTTCCATTTTACATATATCATAAAGGTTATGTGAACAGAAGTCGGATTTCTTAACAGGATTCAACGTTATTCATATGTTAGCACCTGAGTGCAGAACAAATACTGATTTCTAGTGTGCATGGAATAGGATACTACAATAAACTAATATTTGTTTAAAGTTGTGTTTGTTCAGTAATTCGATAGTTTTGTTTTGAAAAAACAAAAGCAGCAATGCATTTGTGATGGTGTACTTTCAAGACATATCATACCATACATTTACAACGATAATTACAGTCATTAGATAGTCTACACACATAAAACTCATTGACATTAAATTAGCGTAATCGTGTGTCTCGTCAAATGTTTATTATTCCATCTTACCAACAGTCTCCAGAACATGACATCTGATCAATTCACGACATTTAGCTCCATTTGCACAGTGTTCCGAAGTCATATACAAGATCTGATCAAACCTACTAGAGGGAGTGAAAACAAGGCATTTGGAGACAGCTGAGCCACTAGCAATCCAGTAGTTCAAGCCCTTGTTATCTATTCAAAAGAAATACATCCAATCGTTACCCCTACCATGGTCACCGTAAGAAAAAGCCGGTCCTTTCAATAATGATTATCTTATCACCTTTCTTATCCAATCTTCCTGTTTATTTCTGTTATTTCGCCATTTAAAAAAAAAAAATCTCTACCTGCATTACTGTGTTTTTTATCCGAATCTCCTGTCTATTTTGTTATTTCTACGTTTTTACTCCCTGAATGCACAAAAGGTCAAATCTCCCAGTGATTATGATCTTACTATGTTTTTTATCCGATCTTCCCGTTTATTACACTTTGTAATTATTATTATTATTATTAATTTTGACCTATGACCTGAAATTCAAGCTGTAATTGATCACAATCCTTCTACTTATACAAGTATACTTTGACGAAAGCACGGCAATTTTGATTTACAACGACTTGTATCCACGTCCGTAATGCAGAGTACTTCTTGAAGGAGACGGGTGGGGATGAGAATATTGTACATGTTTGGATATTGCCTCAGATCGAGAAACACAACATCGTCACATGATGCATTACTGTGTACTATATTTAACTTGAAGATCCTATCCTCAGAGTAGATAATCTGCAGTTTATATACGCGGCAAATTCTGTACTGTGTATTAGCATATTGTCTAGAATAAAGAGGTTATTAATGTTATATTACTGTTATTATTTAACAAGTTTAAAGACAACACAGCTAAAGTCATTTGAAAGGTGTGTTTTTTACTGGTCACAGTTTAAACAATGAAGTTAGTTCAATATTACACATAATCTAACATTTTCATCCAATGTAAACGGCTTGATTATTTTTCCTCTCAATGGAATCATACAACTTAAAGAAAAGACAACAATGCCAAACAAACTATTAACGCATTATTAAACCTTTCAAACTTAAGTGACATAAATAAAATAAAAATACAATGATCTTATCTTTTTTAATTTTTCAAAAGAATGCTTAGTGAACAAAGAATATTCTTTTCGATAACTTCATCATCAGGTTCTACAGTTCGACATTAGACCGCCTGGTCCAAACTGGCCACAAAGCCAGTTAGCATTGAAGAATACTTCTCTATCATTGAGGTACCGCATCCTCCAAACAACAGAGGCTGTCTCGATTCTCCTGAGACAACCGATGCTCCATGTGCAGAAGAAGCAAGTCCAGCTAGCCACTACTACTGTCCTCGCCGTCCTTCAGTAGAGACTAGAAATCCATGAATTTGTATTATTATTTTTCCTAATTTCTCCTATATTCAGCGTATTTTTATGTTGATGCCGTCGAAGTGTAATCCATTGATATAACTATTATTAGTGACTCGATGTTATTTAAACAAAATTAATGCTGTTAATAACACTAATTAATTCATTCACTATTGTGTATATATCACTGTAGAACCTGATGATGAAGGGGTTATCGAGAAGAATACTCTTTGTTCACTAACCATTTTTTCTTAATTGTGTTTAGATTTCCCGCCCATTATGAATAAGCAGCTTAAAACAATGACACTGAACCTAGGAGAAGTGTGTCCACACAAGCAATAGGGTAAATTAAAAGACACATGTACAATCAAATTGAAAAGTCGAACACTTAAGGCATATTTTTAATTTTTGTAGTTCAAAATGTATTTCTCCAGGTTCACTCACGAAAATATAAGAAAAAACATATGAATTTAAATTATGCTCAAACACAAATGTAACAACAATATAAACAAAAAATGCCTCAAATAATCAAAGTGTGATTCTTAATATTGATTTTCTGAAATGATATTTCTATCATAATCTCATCAAAATTGAAATGAATAAATCAGGTCTGTAGTTCAGTTAATTAGTCCAAAATTCTTCAGGCGGAATAATTAAATTTGAAATAAAATATGTACATATATATAAATAAAACTTGGTCGGAATATAAAAGTCAAAATATAATAAAATAACACAAATCAAATGAAATTAATAAACTGAGAAGAGGAAAAGAAAAGAAATTCACAGGAAACCCGGTCACTCACAGTACGGTGGTATTATTATTATTGAGCAAAACAATAACGTTCTGAATAACATTAACAACAACGAGAATTCATTATATGTATATTTTTTAAGGTGAAAATTATACTTTTACGATCTTATCTTTATCTTTACATATATTTGCACTTAAATTAAGCGTACCGATATTGTAATAACGTCTTCTTAGACTTTTAACATTGACTTCTGTGATGACAAATTCCCTTCACTTCGACTGACAGTATTATTACCATTAGTCTCTGGTACATATTTATACACATAACCCATAGCAGTTAAACAACAAAACGAGAAAGTGATAAACAAAAATGATGGTTTAACTGAATAACTTAACAATTCAAATAATTCTGTTACAATGAAAGCAAATAACCAGTTAACAGCTACAGCAGAACTAACAGCATAACCACGACTATTAACAGGAAATAATTCCATAGTAATAAGTAAAGGTAACGGTCCCCAACCAAATGAATAACCAAACATAAATAATGATATCCAGAATTGAGTAAGTTTAAAACTAGGGTGATTATTCTGTAATATAATGGGAGGAGAGAAATATTATAAGATATACTATTTTAAGATATATATATAAACTTGATTATAGCTTCATTCAGCACACTATTTTGGTACAAGTATGGAATTTTCAGCATGTGATATCAGTAGCCGAAATTGAAAAGGCCGACCACTGATATCAGGTATGCGTCGGCCGGGGATCGATTCCCGGACCATATGCATGGTCGGCGAGCGTCCTAACCGCTGTGCCACCGACGTATACATATATATACATATGAAGAATATTGGTAGTGCTTTCTGAATAATGCTCCGAAAAGAAAAACAACAACGTTCCATTAGTGCTATTCACTGTGACAATAGTATATATTGACGCGTGTAGATAAAAAAACTATGGCGACGGTTTTACGTGCATGGCATAGTAAATGCTACAAACTGCGTAAATAAATTGTATTGAATTACAAATAACATTGACTGTAATTCTTTGGATCACAAATTACCACAGAATTCATGTGACTTTATTTATTTGTTTATTGATTTATTAATTTAAAATTGACCAACTGATTCGTCTAAACGTAAACCGATAAAAACCATTAACACGTTGTGCTCAGCCGTGCAAAACAACCACTTCAAAAGAGTAAGTGATTTATGAGAAATACAACACAATGAAAATGCAATCCATAGATATGTATCGCAGACACAGAGACACACCAATTTTGTGGACTACGAAAGAGATTTAGTGTTTTCAAGACCAAACAAAACGTATAACGAGGTCAGTAGATATAATGGTAGAGTGAAGAGCAGAATAGTCCCAAACTAGGACAAAACAGCTGTCGTGTACTCCCAAGTTTTCCAAAGGGCTCTCTAAATGATGTTAGCTCATGATGAAATCCTCCAACATATCGAACAAAATCCCTACAAAACCAATACTTCAACATTGATCTGAGGCTCACTAGTGACTGGCCATATTCATGTAGGTAGTAGTTACCTGCGGTTTCATTGAGAAGCCATGACCAGTAGAGTACAGCAAGTTAAAGGTGAGGTAACCCATCGAAGAAGACATTGAGAAGTGGTCACGCCATGTCGCGATTTGGAAGAAGCTAGAATTCATGGGCTGTTCATTGGATCGAGTCTCGGTGGCGTAATGGTATACGAGCTCGCCTTGTAACCAGAAGGCCCTGGATTTGAACCTCCGGGGATGAATACTGATGAAGAGTGTCAAACTAGGACGAAACAACTGGCTGTTTAGTTTTCCAATGGTTCTCTAACCGATCTTAGTTCATATTGAAATCCTGAATAAAAATACTGGGTTGACTATGAATCGAGTAACTAGACTAAGGTTCCACAGCAGGTAAAATAGTTGCATGTAGACAAAAACGGCGTAAAAACGTAGATTTCTAAAGTAAAGAACAAACAGTACAGCGAAGAGTCTTTTTTTCGGTGAATTCATTCACTTAACTATACAAGTGTAATTATACATATAATTATTTTCGCATGTGTATTTACATTAGGTATGCTAAACAAGAATAGAAATTATTTAGGGTTATTGTTCACGTCATCGATTGGTAAGCCTAGACTAGGGTTACGTAATATGAAAACATTTTACAGCTAAGTGAATGAATTCACCGGAAAAAAAGAGATACTCTTCGTATATCCTCGTCTGTTTGGGCATTTTTCGTGGGTTTCTAAAATATCTAAATGTATTATTAATAGAGTAAAAATTCGACACTTGTAGAAAAATTCAATTTCCAACTTACCGAAATTGTGATACCATAAGCTAATTGTGCAATAGCCATAAATAATGCACTTAGAATGAGTAAATGTTTCCGAGGTGCATAATTGACAGCAAATACTGCCAACATAGTGAATATCATTTGAACTGTTCCAATGAAAAGTGCACAAGCTGGAGGTGTTGTAGCACTTCCAATAAGGCAAATTGACTCAGCGAAAAATAGAATAGCATTAATCCCGGTAAACTGTTGAAGTATCATTAATCCTAAAGCTATTCGTAAACGATGATTTTGACTTGATGGAATAAATAAACAAGGACATATACATGACATTAAAGAATATTTCTTCGATGTACTTTCCATCGTGTTATCTTCCAGATCGACTGCATCCATAACATGTGGATTAAGCTTACAATAAAAGGAACAAAAAAACAAAGACAATAATGAATAACAACAGTGAGAATTGAAATTGGAACAAAGTCAGAATCACGGAATACACACATTGGGTCATACGAGTTATTAAGAAAACAAATGCAGCGGAGAAAATTTTCTTTTCGACGAAGTCATCATCTAGGCTGTACATTCGTGTATTGATATCAAATAGGTGGGAAAGTTCCAGAATAATTTCCGGTTAAGGGTTAAATTAATAAAAATTACAATTAGGAATTAGAATGCCATAATAAACAGGGTGGTGGGACGGGTAAAACAAACAAAGTAGCATTATAATAACTAAGATGACTGACATTGTGCAATTAGGGGTTAGAAATGTAGAAATAACAAAAAAGACAGGATGTTTGGATAAAAAATACTAATGTGATGAATAATTGTTTATGCAATCAAGGATTAAATATGTAGAAATAGTAAAACAACAAAATAAACACGAAGTTCGGATATGAAAATATGGTAGTGTAAATAGGGATTACGAAAACCTTAAAATAGCATGAATAAACAGGAAGTTTGTATAAGAAAGGCGATGGTATGGTCATTACTAATAAATTACCTGTTTATGATGGCCATGGTAGGGACAGGGGTTGGACGTACTTTTTTTGGATACAAAGCGTGGGTTTTAGCTTTTGGATAGCTAGCGCCTCGGCTATGCCCAGATGTCTTGACTTCACTCCCTTAATTGCACAATGTCAATCTTCTAAGTTATTATGATGCTACTTTGTTTGTTTTACCCGTCCCACCACCCTGTTTATTATGGCATTCTAATTCCTAATTGTAATTTTTATTAATTTGACCCTTAACCGGAAATTATTCTGGAACTTTCCCACCTATTTGATATCAATACACGAATGTACAGTCTAGATGATGACTTCATCGAAAAGAAATTCTCCTTCGTTACAATTGTCCTCTTAAAGTCAGAATCATAGTATTTTCTTTATACCAGTGGCTTTATTGCATATCCCTGTTAATTGTAGCGTTGTAATCCGTTGCTACGGTGGTTTAATGATGAGTTGTATTTTTTAAATATGATTTTAAATGAAATTTTGCATTAAATTTTTTTGGGGGGAGGGGGAGGCGTATATATTGCCAATGGTACTGAATTTTCGAACTATGTTACATTTGCTGAACTTTTTGCCAGAACACGTTGCTTGATACTGATATCTGCTCAATTTAATGGATTTTTTAAGGTAGGCAGTAAGTTCAAAAGTTAGATGTATGTTATTGGACTTCTACAAAATTATGCTAGTTTATTATTGAAACACCCCAATATCCACCGGATAAAGCAAGTGGCATTACTTCAAAAAAAGGGATATGCCATATAATCGCTCCTTTAAACGTGATGATATATTAAAAGATAATTTCATATGAGAATTGAAGCAACAAATATTTTCAAGTATTGGGTTTTTGGAGGGATTTTGTTTGATTGTTTGGAGGATTTCATCACTAAGAGAACCATTGGAAAACCCGCGGGGAGTACTGGACAGCCGGCTGTTTCGTCATGGTTTGACACTCTTCAGCAGTATGCAACCACATTCAGGGTTCGAACCAAGGACCTCCTGGTTACAAGGCGAGCTCGTAAACTATTAGGCCACAGGGACCCGATCCAATGAATTCTAATTTCTGCTAATCCTCCGACTAATCAAACAAAATCCCTACAAAACCAATACTTCGAAATTCATCTGGTGCTCACTAGCAACTGGCCATATTCAAGTAGGTAGTAGTTACCTGGGGTTCTAGTCAGAAGACATAACCAGTAGGGTTCAGCAGGTTGAATGTGAGGCAGTAACCCGTCGAAGAAGACATTGAGTAGTGGTCACGTTATGTCGTGAATTGGAAGAGGTTAGAATTCATGGGCTGTTCATTGGATAGGGTCTCAATGGCCTAATGGTCTACGAGCTCGCCTTGTGACCAGAAAGTCCTGAGTTTTGAACCCGTGTGGTGGATGTGCACTGCTGAAGAGTCCCAATCTAGGGCAAAACAGCTGGCTGTCCAGTACTCCCTGCGGATTTTCCAATAGTTCTCTAACTGGTGTTGCCTCATGATGAAATCCTTCAACCAACAATTATTTGTTTTGAAAATACCAGCGAAAATTGAAACGGTTTGTGTCACACACCTCTCAGTGTTATAAATGTTTGCACTAAGAAATTAATATTGAAAGTTTCAATAGTTAGTGACGATAAAATAATAATACCACTGAAGCACATTTCGAAACATACCAGGCACTTTTAAACCGCGTAAAATCTAGAAACATTTTTCATAGATAATAATTTTCTGTGTTAAGTTTATGTATAAATTTTTAAATAACTAACTGTCTGTATTCTCGGAAGACAGAAAAGTGCTACTGACATTACTTCAGTAATTATCAAAGTTTTTGACAACTACAAGCTACAATATTTAGGCTCAATGGATTATTTTATTTAAAATTTGTGTGCTTTGGTGGTTTAAAGGTAAAATGTTCGCCAACCACGTAGGTGGTTCATGCTCCACTATCTGTCAACGCACTCCTAAGTCGACTCCTAATAAGGTGAGCAATATTGAAGTTAGGCGTCGAGTGCTACGTAAGGAGGGGAAATCAATCGACGAGTCTGTGAAATTACATCGACTGAGATGGTTAGGATATGTGTTACGTATGCCTAGTCATCGCTTTCCACGATGGGCAATATTAGCTGATATAGGGTCAGACTGGAAAAGAGCTAGCGGTGGTCAAACCAAAACATGGCACCAGTCAATGAAATCCACAACAATTAGTTTAGGCCAGCCACGTAGGAAGGTGCAAACTTCCTGGTTGGGGTCCTCGGGACGGTAAAAACCAATGGTTGGAAACAATTGGTGATATGGCCGGCTCAAAGTGATCGTTCTCAATGACTGGCGCAGATGCATCCACTCCTTGTGACTTATGATTTCCAATGAAACTGTATTGTTCTTTGTTATTACTATTCCTTTGTCTCACACCTCTGTTTACCGTCTCTGTTATGCAGTTCTTCTACTTTCTTTTCTTGCTTTGTGCGCTACAAGGAGAAAGTGTGGCGACTTGAACTGCCGCACATATGTGCAAAGTTCTGTGTCGAAAACAGAGAGACGGACTCCTAAGTCGAGCTTGATCGGTAATATGCCCATTAAATAGGGAAGGTTGGGTGTGAGACTAACAACTTCACCCCCTAAAAATAACGTCATTGCTAAAGAGACTTCAAAGATAAGCACTCTATATCCTCCTCAGGAATGAAAAATTGATTGTTATTATCATTATTATGAATCTCGGCCCCCAGGTGATGTTCGGTCAGAACACTCAGTAATGAGGTACTAATGATACTAGTTGGTTTTCCAGAAGGGTATATAGAGAGGAGTTGGAAGTTATTAATTGACAGCAAATGTACAGACCAGTGATTCACAGCTCCACACATATAACAAAATCAATACTGGTATTCCTACAGAAACGAAGCATACTAAAAAGTCAAATTTCATTAATTATCCTATTGATGATGAAAGAAAGAAGACATCATCCACGCTTAAAAACTTCCACGGAATGATATAGAGAACAATCTCTGAGAATGTTTAAAAACAGTTTTGAACCTATCGAAATTGAGATTTACAGTCATATCCCTTAGGTGACTCAGAATTAGAATCATAGTACATGACTACTCTTTGGGTGAACATGAGTTGTGAGGAATGTTTCAGCTTACTGATTCATGAAGATATTGAATTTACCTACTTGTAGGCCTATTAACCTTTCATATTATATCTAGCCAACTTTATGTTATTAGCCATAACGATATCCGATTATATAATTTGACCTCCAGCTTTTGAAAGTAAGTCTTATTGGGCTAAATTAATACAGTATGAGGATAATTTTGAGATTATCATTGATACTTTGCCACCAATCAGACTAAGTGGATTGATTTGTTATCAGTTGGAGGTCGTCCTTGCATGGTTTGAGTTCCCCGATTACTCAGCTCAGTACTATATAATAAAATTCTGCGACTCGGAAATCACACTGATAATATGTTCCCACATTGACACCTTGTTGATAGTGCAAACAGTATATTTCAGAAACAGTGAACGTATTCATGAATCTAACAGCCTGTTATATCACACACAATTGGTAGCTTAGTTTGACTACTTGTGTGTTTAAACATTTTTATACGCATCAAGATTCGAAATCTCATTGTTCTGATTAAATACCATGAGTTACAGTTCTAAAAATTAACTGTCACCCTCACAAAACTAAGAAACTTGAATCACTTAAAAACCTCAATGACATTTAGAAGTTTCCTTTTTTTCCTTCACGTTCCCACTGGAACATAGGGCTTCAAGCTAGTGGCTTGAAGTTTCCATAGCAGTGTTTACTTTTACAGGATGGGGTTGCTAGACTCATGCCCAACCTTTCCTCTTCACCAACTTTACTTCTGGCTAAGTGAGGTAAAGGAGTAGGCCGGCCGGGGAACGAACTCCGGACCATGTGCATGGTCGGCGAACGTCCTAACCGCTATGCCACCGACGCTGGAAGTGTCTTGCCGGTATTTATTTCCCTTGACTTTTGAGAATACTGTGTGCATGCAACTCCATTATAGATAAAATTTTATTTTTGATAAAATCACAGTGTTATGCAGTAATATTTACTGATGGTGTTTCAAGCACAATATATATATATATATATATATATATATATATATATATATATATATATATATATATATGGTTATGAGCAATAAATTGTACTCGAAACATCAGTAAATATTTCTGTATAGCACTGTGATTTTATCGAGATAAAATTTTATCCATAATGAAGTTATACTCTACCAGTGCTCAAGGTTTATCCTTATATCAATAATACTGTATGCGTGTCTCAGCCATACATTGTAATCATGAAAATTTAGACAAATAAACACGGAAAATTTCTGACTAGTATCCTACCTACCATTTATATAGATTGTCACAATTTTGCAACTATATTTTATAAACCTTTTGTGAAATATGCAGCTAAGTAACCTAGTTTCTTGATAATATATCATCGCACCACACAAAATAACTCACTAAAGAAAATCCAAACTCAGAATCATAATTTTCCGATGTGTACAGAAACCCTCTCAACGAATAGATGTGTAGTGAGTTGAAATTTCTGCCTAATGACTGCAAGAGAGATTAGTAATGATGTAGTCGTAACAAAACAAAACCGTGGCTCTATGGCCTCCTGAGTAATGTCAGTGTAAGCATATCATATGTATTCGTCAACTATTGCGAAAAATACATATATGGAGAATTTAGTCAAAATGTGTAAGAAAATAGAATTGAAGACTCACTTTACCGAACAGCCGCATATTTGCATTATCTGCTTCCTTAGTATAACCGGCTTTCTGAAGCCATTTCGGTGATTCTGGGAGGAACCAAACAAGAAGGAGAACAATAGAAGAGAAAATGACGTGTATGAAAGCAATGCGTTCCCACACCATATATACAGCCAAAAGGAAAGAGAAGAAAACCCCAGAAACTATTCCGACTTGTGGTAATGCACAAAGTGCACCTCGATATTTTGGGCGAGATATTTCTAAAATGTAAGTTGCGGAAGACGGAAGACATAGACCAGCTCCGACTCCAGTTAGCAGACGTCCAAAAATAAACAATGACATTGGAAAGGAAGATCTATATACTGCGTCGGCACACATGTACATCCAAAACCAACCCAAAATAGTTGGAATACATGACATTAACAATGTAAAACGTCTTCCAAAAGACGATAACATATGTGCTGATATCAATCCGCCAATCAATCCTCCTATATTCACTGAGCTAGCAAAAAGTGCTGAATGTGAAACAGTGAAATAAATTTGAAGCGTAGATGCTGAAGAGAAGCCGAAGGCTAAACCTAAAATAGAAGAATATTTCAATTAAGCATATATAGAGAAGTTTTAGAAATACATTATCCAAAACATAGTATGCAAAAATAAAACACTTTTACTCTTCTTGCAAGAAATACTTTCTAACATAATTACAAATTATAATTAATGAGGCGCTGCTTATGCAAATTATAAATCACATGACTGCTTTGCAATATCTAATGAGTTACACTTATTGTATTAAGACCAACTTCCAATTTTCCAAGAGGTTCACTATCATTAATTTATTGGACACTAGACTTACATTCATATACAGTTTTATTTTCCAAACTATACTATAATTTCTTTTCCTAATGAAATACATGTCAAATGACCTGAAACTTTCAAAAAATATCTGAAATAGACTCAAAATCAATGTGAGAACTTACAGAACTCCTGAATACTAGTATAACCTACTGAAAATATAGTAATAAAATATGCAGTATGTCTAAACCCCATCAAATGATAGAAATTCTGCCAAATCAACTGAGATGCCTCGATTGCGCTACACTTCAAATTCAAATCTCGATACTGCTTATGTCGTACTTTTCATTTCATGTAAGCAATAAAATGAAACACACAGTCAAAGACCTGCCATTTTACCTGTCACCGTCTTTTAGAGATACTACAGCATTAAGTATAACCAGTAGGTGCACCTTTAGAAAGATAATTATATATTTCACAAGCTTCAAAAATGATGTCAATTTTAGCATAGTAACTCAATTACAATAACATACTTTGTGGTTACTTCCTTCACAGCCAGACAATGACGGAGTACTTTTCCATTGACAAAATCGACTGTCATCTCGAGGTAAAGACTAGAGTTTCGAAAGACTGCGACAACAAATGCGTTGAACGAAGACCGTGACAGTTATCTGAAACGGTAATTTCACTGCTACTATGCTAATATGAGACCAATGCCGCTAAAAAAGGAAATCTTTACGGCATATAGAATAAATATAGGGCTGAAACCTTCTCCCAAACTATGGAGGAAATGCCAGATAATCAGATGTAAATAATAACGAATAAGGGTAAAAAACCTTCGACTGCAGCCTGGGAGACTCTATTGAATTATCGTAATCTGCTGAAAAATATCATACTACACATCATTGCTAACTGTGAACTACATAGCCCCATTCATTTGGAGACAGCGAGGATTTTAAAAAGCCAACTTCCCTATAAAATGTCTGGATAACTGTTATGAGAAGTTATTCCAGCGTTTATGGATTACATATTGCATATTTTTTGCTTTACCCTTTGAATTATACCGGAGATATAATAAAAAAATTAATTAAACACTTATTTCAATGATTAATACAATGTAGCGAAAATATTCATTACGACATCTATAAAACACAAAGTAATTGAGCGAAGGATATCCTTTTCAATAATTTCCTCTTCTGGCTCTATGTATGTAAACATACATATAATTATAGAGCCAGAAGAGGGAATTATCGAAAACACCATGTGTCAAACTAAAGTGAAAAACGAAGGATGAGGAAACTATTAGAGTTGCAAATTACAGTTCCTCTGTTCTTACTCTTTCATTCTTTTAAGAGCAATATAATGCGTTTAAAAATAAGGCTACTCGCTATTTTTTAAATGTAATTTCTTACCGGGGGTTATGGTGCTCAATGCTGCTATGGTGATGGCTAAACAATCCATTTCTGAACAGATACAGTTGCAAAGATAAGCAGCAGGCTATTTAACAACTAGCAAGCAGGAATTTCGACCACAGTAGACATGAATCTAAAAAATAACATCATTGAAATTATGAGTGTGACATTACAAAGTAAACATTCAATGGAAATTATAAGACACAGAATAGGGAACAACGATCCAGACAACCATTCCCGTAATATTTCTTTATAGTAATCTTATGAATAACTGGGTGTTACAGTGGTGGAAGTATTTTTCGAAGTATTTTTTGCCAGTCTCTCCTGCCGTCACGGATACAAAACCATCTTCATAAGTGACTTCGACAGCTTGCGTTGAGTTTACAAATGGCGAATAATCTTATAAACTAATGAGACCTAGGTCCTAGGAAATATGTATTGCTTGGCAAATAGAATATTTTTTGTCAACCATAAGGGAAGAATGGCGGTGCTAGTCAGAAAAAATATTACTCCTATGGTTTGTAAATGTTATCAAAAATATTAAAATAATTGAATGACATATGTTAGTCGATTAGGAGTTCACGAAATTTTGCTGCAAATCTAGTTACTCAGGAACACAACATAACTGTCTATCTGGGTCAATCACAGGCGTTTTGTTGGAGATTGTCAAAGTAATGCATTTTTGCGTTGTCCAGGAACAAGTGGTCATTCAAAATAGACTAAGAGGTGTCAGCTTAGTTACACAGAAGTGATAGCTTATGAAGACATCCATTTATCCATCTGCAGTTGGAAAGTTTTGCACGAATATCCCCGAGACTAAGTGCACTTGTCCAGTATCCAATATCGTTTTTACGAGCTAGTATAAACCAATTTGATTTCTTTGTGCTCGCTTCTTGATTGTGAGATATAAGTTCCTGATCTTCGGTAAACTTCTGCGTAGCTTGTCCCGCCAATCGACTGTCGTAGCTTTGGTTGACTCCAAAGGGAGTAGTGCTGGGATTAATTATATGTGGTTTGTAGTATGAGGTATGTTAAGACTGTTACTACTGTGATTGGAGTTGATCCTTTCGCCAGTTAGTCCCTCGGTATCGTCGACAAGAGAAAAGAGATAGTAATAATAATAATAATAATAATAGTAATAATAATAATAGATATAATTAGTGAAGCTATTCAGACTAAGAGATAGAAACAAAAATAGGAAACGTAACAACAGTCAGCTCATTAAGTTTGAAGAATAATATATATATCGGTAATAGTAATAATAATAATAATAGTAATTATAATATTAATAAGTTGTCAGGATAGTAAGACGGGAGAGAATGTAAAGAAGTAAAACGACGAGTTTAATTATCTACCCCTGAATGGTGTATGCGATTTTAAGGAGATAGGCCATTTGGATGCAGTCCTTGTATCGCTGCATGGTTGTCAAGCCTTCGCTTAAAGGCATCCAAAGACGGTGCCATAGCTACATCTGCCGGCAAGGAATTCCAGGGACGGCAAACCCGCAGTGAAAAGAAGTGGGAGCGCACCCGGGTCCTTGCCCTCTGGTGAGCTATCCTTCTGGGATTTCCACGTGGGAGCCTATACCTACTCAATGGCAGAACACCTTTATTTGGGTGATTCTGGTCATGTTATTTTGTAGGCGGTAATCGAATCCACACTAAGCCGACGATAGCTAAGTGTGAACAGGCCTAATTTCCTCAGCCTTTCATTATATGGTTTGTTTCGGAGACCAACCACTCCTTTTGTTGCCCATCGTTGGACTCTTTCCAAGAGGTTGTCACTACATGCAATATTAAAATGTTGAGTCCGACAATAGAACAAGGAAAACATGCGACTCAGCGTCTCCAAATATATCTCAATATTGTTAGTATTAAATTGCGAGAAAGGTATACGTAGATTGTGGTCATGCACGAAAATCAAGCTTCCGCGGAAACCTATTACGACAAATAATTACACAAAACGTGAGACTATTGTACACCAGTTTACTGCAATATTATGCATTTGTATTGACATTAAATATGACGCATGACAGCACATGAACTTTAAAAAATTCAGACGAACTTAATTTATTAAATAGGAATCATAAGAAATGCTGACTGTTAACGTATAGCGCGCCGAGCTTAGGTTATGTAGCTTTAGAGCGAAACAGCTGATATTGAATAATTATAACACCAAAAAACTAAAGTCATAACAACAGGATGGATTGATTATCTCATTCATTGCTGTTCCCTTTGATCTTCAATAGACTACATCTTTTTAGGGTGCTTCTGATTTTCAACGGGTTTAAGGGTGGTCAACCCACCATTCGGATTTTTCATAGGTCGCCACGACGTGGTCCACGATGATCTATTTCTATGCCCATCACCTCTTTGATGAACTTTTGTAAATCTTATGATTCCTTGAAGCTTGTTTCGGAGCCTTTTTAGATCTTCTGTTGATTACAGAACAGACCATGCACATGGTCCGGGGTTCGAGCCCACGCCGGCGCATACCTGATATCTATGGTCGGCCTGCAAAATTTGGGTTACCGATATCCATGCTGAAAATTCCATACTTGTACCAAAAATACCGTGTGGAATCAAGCTGTAAATCAAAAATAAAAATAATAAATAAAAAAATAAAGATAGTTGTTACTTCTTTGAACACAGTGAGAGGAGATGCATTAGTATATTTTGGAGGGAATGTGTGACAATTTCCGGAACAATAGCCCTCTAAAACATTCTAATTTATTTCCTGCAGAGAATCCTTTGGTTATTTCACGGGCACTTTTGGTATCCTGACTGGACAGTTGAAAGTATTGCTGGTGGGATTTTTGTTTGAGTCAAAGATTTATAAGTGCCTCTGAGTTTGTTTATTATCAGTCAGCCACCAAAGTCTGCAAAATCTTTACCACATTTGGGACGGGCATCTTCTGCCCTTACATTTTATAAGTCAGTGGTCTCTTTGAGGGACTGAGTTTTCCCTCAGCAGTCCAGCTAGCACAATAGAACAAATATTCAGTAGACGTACCAGGACCACGGACATGTATCAGGCCTAGTAAATCAGTAATATTTACGTGGAACGACTATGTCTCGGCTGCAATACACTTTCGGCCTACAAACGTTACATTAGAAACTTAGGTCACTTCGGGAGATAATGCGCTATTAGGGTTTGGACTAGTCACCTGGTGGCATTTCCCATGACATACTCTTGCCTCGCAAACTGCACCTGCTACCTGGCACTGACGTCCCGGAATGATCATCATTACTTCGTTCAAGTGTAGCGTTGATCTGCTTTTACTGAAACACTTTCGAGAAGAAACATGGTGTTGGGATCTGGTGACATTATTGAACCTTGTATTTCAGACGGCGCATTTCCCCAGCCTATTTAGTGAATCTTTGCTAGTGTTCCGTACAAGTAGCCGTGCCATTGTAGCTTCATTCGGTGATGGGATTTCAGATCTTAGCGCTATATGAGAATTGTTTTCACTACTCGTATCTGAAGCTGAATGTCTAAAATAGAGATATTGAAATACAATAGGCGTTTGTGTAGGCGTTTTACGACTTCACCTTTGGTTATTCGGTTATGTGTCTTCGTGGAGCTACCAAGACTGGGTGATAAGGCGTGTCTAGGAGAACAGCAGTCATTCAGGGATGTGAACATATATCAGAATTCTGAAGGAACAACCAGATGGTGAGGTTTATTTGCGTAGTTAAAACTATCCTATTTTAGCCCATTTTGGTGACAGTTAAGTAAAACAAGCCTTAGTTTCCCCAGCCCATATGATATAATTTATTACCTAAGTTCCCAAGTTCTTTCGTCACTCTCTGACACCTATTTCATATGGTTTTGTTAAATATTAAAAGACAGTGAAGCTGTGATGCTGAAAAACAGCACACTCCTTGCCCATTTGATGAAATAATGAAAGGATCACAAATAAGTTGTATCAGTGGACCGAAAGCCTAATTACTGAGTGGAAAACTGCGCGAGCTTAGTCATTATTTTATATGTGGTAAGATACTAAGTGATTTTTTTCCAAACACATGTTGCCTCACTTCAAAATGCTCCTAACATTTTCCTAAAGCCTTTGATTTTCTGACTTTGTGAAGCCCCTTTATTCCCTATGTGAAATAAATGAATGTCAAGACGCAACTCACGCAACTATTTTTCTATCCAAAATAAAGAGATGACTGAATGCTAAATTTGCAGATATTCCAGTCAATCAGTAGTCTGCCAGTAGAGATCTTTAAAAATCTATCGAAATCCAAGTCTAAACGTGTTCTCAGTTTCCATTCAGCAAATGGCTGTGCGAAGTGGTCTGAAGAAAAGTGATCTGCTATCTTGCTTCCGTGTAAATAAAATGCTTGGTGTGTTTTCGCCTACTCTGTAATTGATATGCTGAGACCCCATTCCTTCCATTTGATGTATGTGCAACCATAAGCAACAAGACGCGGGGAAGATAAAGTAGCGTAGCTACTAAGCTGAGGTGGACCAAACCAAACAGTCATCCGGTCAACGCACTTACCCAATAGTGTGGTGGCATGATAAAGAAAATGTGTGCCAACGGAATGTTATTCTCACAATTTCCCGCAGTTCAATTCGGTATTAATAACAGAATACGATATAGCATTCAGCCATCTGTAAAACACAAAATAATTGAGCAGAAAATGTCCTTTTCGATAATTTCCTCTTCTGGCTCTACAACTATATATATGTTAATATACACAGAATATTCTTGACTGGTAGTCAATGACAATATTAGTGTTTTTTAAGTAATATCGATTTGTAAGATTTGTAAAGTTACATAGGCCGTACAATTAGGCGCGTTTATTGTCGAATTTTCGAATATCACTCTGCGAGGTTAAGCAAAGGACAAACGAAATCTGTTTGCAGCTTTATTCTATCTCATCTTGAGGATACAGAACACAGGATTGACGTTAACCATGCTTTCTGGGTCATTTACAGTAGAATCTCAATTTCAGCTTCAGTTTGACTACTAAATATTGCTGAAGCTGTTAGGGTCCATATTAACAAGCCTAACTTGTGCATCCAATAGAAGTTAGTACAGACGTTATCCTTACCTAGGTCATCTAGACTTGAATGATCCTAAATTTTGCGAAATTTTCCTAATTTTAGTTGATATTCTATTTGCTACAATATTTTTGTTATTATTATAATTTAAGTATCTTTATTGAGCTGTGATTGCATTGATCTTACTTTAAAAATCGATAGTATTAAAGAACACTAATATTGTTATTGACTACTAATCTAGAATATTCTATGTATATTAACACATATATAATTATAGGGCCAGAAGAAGAATGTATCGAAGAGAATACGATATATCTATTTGAACATTCTATTTGATGTCGTTTGATATAAGCCGAAATCATACGCTCACCTACTGGTTAAACGGTTAATGAAAAATATACGTTGGCTTCCATGTATTGGCTTATGTTGTTACAGTAACACTGGGGACATATAACATTCACTAAGGCTACCTCTAGTCCGGAATGATAAGAAAAGACATTTCTCCCCAGTTCTCGTTTGCAGACTGCATAAATGTGCTGTATTTTCGGCAAGATTTTCAGTCTGCAGCAGCAATTCTTGATTTTAGGTTAAGATTCTGCAGCGAGCAACCAGAACTCTCAATAACATCTGCAACTGACCTGGCCTGAAATACCTTGAATTTCGTTCGCATGTCGTGATGAGTAATATTGGCTTTGGTATCAAAGTAACTTCATAGCCCAGTGCTAACGCCTGACTTAATCGACAGTTTAAAATACACATCTTATCCTATGTTTTATTACCATCTTTCATGGTATTGCTTTTACTCCCTTTACTGATTCTCTTTGCTTTTTCTTTCCATTTTATATCTCGCCGTTTTATTTTCACTGATGCTGTTATAGTTTTGAATTCTGCGTTGGGAATATTTTTTAACCTGAATGATGTTTCGAACGTATTGTGAATTTCAGGGTGACGAGAGATCAATCATACAGCATTTTGATCAATGTTTATGTAGTCCGTCTCCATTCTGATTTGTGTAGTATAATTTTTCTATGTCCGAGACTAATGTGCTGTGGGTCTTGTCGCTCTATTAATTGTTCATTCATGCGAAAAATCAGGTAGTTGACTTCGGACTTCTACCGATTACATCATTTTAAGGATTGTCACCCTGTTTCAATCTAATGCTTGATCATAGACTGTCACATACGGTAAGATGTTCGACGTTTCACTTTTGCCTACGCAAAACCTGTGGGTTTCTTAGAATAATTTTGTCAGGCATCTTGCAGCAGCCCCATATTCCGAATAATGGCATCCTCGAATATCAAGTCATCATTTTTTTCAAAGTAAACCTATCTGCATTAAATGATAGGGACGCAGATGTCTACCAATACGTCTGTCAATGGAGTTGAAGATTGAACGATCAATTCATGGTTGTTTGCTTAAAATCAACTTCCCCAATTTTCGCGGAGGCATCAATATGACAGTCATCGTCTCATCGGTCGCTGTTCAGAAAGAAGAGTGAAACATCGTCAGAAGTAATACAATGATTTATTGTTGTAATATTTGTTTTCAGACCTTAGTTCAGTTATTATTTTATATGTTGGTGTAACAATAAAGAAATCTCAAGCGGCAGATCGGTGTTTTGGTTTTTTCGTCCGTTATAACTAAGCGTTTCTTAAATCTTCGAAGAACAGCGTGGGCCCGAGCGTAGCGAGAGCTGGGCATTAACGGTTTATGAGACGTGATTGACAGTTTCTGACGATAGAAACAGATCTGGCGGATTCAAACAGTTGGTGAAAGTTTGGATAGTCGCCGTTCATTTTTCCTGGTGCCGGTCAAGTCCTCTTTGAACAAGCAATATCTGGAACATTTTTGGATTTGGGTCAAGTTCAAAAATGCCTGGGTCAAAGAAGGGACAGAGTGTCTTGGATGCAAACAAGAAAGTAAGTCATGGTGACTTGTCTGTTACTTGTAACGATGTGTCTGATGTTAAGCATGACATGGTTGATGTTATTGTTTCGCCGTTCAGGGATAATAGGAACATCAAACTCCCTAAATTAGAACCACAGTGTTTTCATGGAAACCCGGCTGTTTGTTTACAGTTTGTAAAGGAGTTTGAGATCATGTTGAGTGGTTTTTTATTAAATGATGAATTGAAGTTAATGT